ACCTACACAAAATTTAAACTAACTAACATGTGTGCACAAAAGTTCACCAACGAAAACCATTACAACAACCAATTCTCCCACACACCTACGACTAATTTCCCAGCGAAACAACTCGGAAGCATAGATAAGGCATCGGCGCTTATCCTTCGAAACAGTTGGAACGAATGCATAAGAGGAAACGCGGGGGATCTCCCATCGAAAGAAGGAGGGAATAAGGTGGAAATAAAAGAAGCAATTCCGTTGACGTCTGGCGAGCGTCTGACGGTTGAAACGGACAGGAAGGCGTCCAAGGGTGGCGTCGGATGCGTTGGAGGCGTCGGCGTAATCAGGAGGAAGGGCGTGTTTCTGCGAGGAAAAGCGAAACGTGTGGCCGTACGACGGCGCAAGTCAAGCACCTGTTTTCGACGCCTGCGAACTCGAGCGTAAGGGACCTATGAAACTGGTTGCGACCGCCTACTATCCTATCGAAACGGACAGGATCCAAAGCCCGGAGAACCTCTTCCACCTATCCACCTAGCCGTTTACCCACCTACGACCTCCGATAACTTCACCGCCGACCGGTCCAGACCAGTCACAGCACAGAAGGATACTCTGTTCTACCTTTTTCCACCTTCCTCTCTTCCTCTCTCTCTCTCTCTCTCTCTCACACACCCTTCTTTCCACATCTGACTTTACAGATAGACAGCTCACGTCTCTCCTCTTTTTTCCACTTATAGCTATATACCGATCCACTCTCTTCCTTCTTTCCTCTCTCTACAATTGTTCTTATCGACGTTGACAGGCACGCCTTCTTGTTACTCCTTTCTTCCTTCCTTCCTTCTTATTCAGATAACTGTTTCGAATTTCAAATATCAAGATTCACGTGACACTGCTTTTACCACGCTCTCACGTTTTATCTGCTGCATTTTAGACGTTGCACGGCTGTTAGAGGTATTAGCTCGTTTAATTATCCCGGGGAAATATTGAGTACCGTGTGAAGGTAAGAAGTTCGATGCAACGGGTGTCTGCTTTTTTCTGGTCGAACTTTGGCTGTTGGTTTTTCTGCGGAGATTGTGCAAGGTGTGTTTATGATTTGAGGTCGTTCGAGGTGTTGTTAGTCTTGTTTTGTATTATAGTAATTGTAAGTTCGTTGCTGTTCTCTTTGTGTTTCGTTGTTTTGTTGTAACTTTTTAAGGAAGCTTTAAACGACCTACGTTTGTATAACATTTTTTTGTTACTTGTATCCATGGAAGATGCTGACAAAGTTTGATCAGAAACAACTGGGACACCCTGTATAGTGCAAAATATACACGAGCAGTAATATCGATCTTGTTTCGCATTTTCTATGTAGGATAGTATGAATAGTGAATTTGATTTTTGGAACAATTTTGTTTCAACAAATTCAGTTTCATCGTGAACTTTGTATAAATTTATGAATAACTGTATCAGAATAATGGTATCAACGAAAATGGTTTAAATTATTGTTAGTTTGTAAAATGAAAGTAAACCTGTCTTGTTCCTGTATGTCAATAACGTGCATCGTACTAATTGTATTTACAGTTATTGGTTAATACTAATTTCTTACAATTGTCTTGTTGTAATATCTTACATTTCGTCTAAAAGTTAGTATGGAGAAAGTGCCTTTCGATATATTCTAATAAATTAATAAAATTTCTAAATCTTTATTTATTTTGTATCGTAATGTTTGGTAGGTGACTTGTTAAAAATTTAAGTAGCATTTAGAAAAAGTAGTTATAAATACCTTTCTCTTAACCTTATTTTTGCAAAATTTTTCACAACCTTTTGTGGTTAATAATTTCATTTCTCAATATATCATATTCTACTACGTTTTATGTAGAACATATGTTTCAATTTTGTATCCCTATTTTATTTGAATTTTCAACCCCTTTTATGTAATTACAATCTTATCTAATTCTAATTTATTTAAATTATTATACCTCTACGCCAATGAAAATCCTAAATCTAATTTATTAGAATTCTACGCCATTGAAAATTCGTTAGAAACATATGTCCACGTTCTATTGTTTTTATTCTTTCATATTAAATGTTTTACAATAACGATAACGTTATTTATGTTGTTTTTCTTAAATATTGCAATGTTTTTATATTATTACTCTTTTTATTTATATCTTTACCTCGAGTAAATTGATCACTAAGTAATTGCGTCATATAATGTATACTCTTTTCCCGCCAAAATGTACCAGCTCGTTCCACAAGTAAATATAATAAAAATACGTTATATTTTATATGAAGAATATGTTATATGATACGTTTATAAAAGCTTTATTCAAAAATTCTAATAAAAAGACGAAATAATAGTAGACTAACATAGCATGGGAACAGATATTTATCTAAACTATTTACGCAGAATAAGTGCGTCGTATATCTTACCGGAATAGCTGACAGTTCATTTATCCTTGGATATTGTCAAAATGTATTCTGAATTATTATAAGAAATACTATCGTTACTTCGCTAGACTTTATAAATACAGTTGAATAGCTATCCAACATATTCAAATGAAATAGTACTGGTAAATAGTAAACATAGATAAATATCGTTAACCTATTTCGTGTGTTTCGTGTAACGTAAAACCTTTCGTGGATTTATATGTAAGTACTTTCTTTTCGTATTTTTATACATATAATATTGGCTATAAATTTGACCAGTAAAAAGTTGGATTAAGAAACATGTAAGTGGAAAACGTTTTATAATATTATCAGAAATTATTTCACAATATAATAAAGTGCGTTTGAAACTATTCGTGACAGTTACGTTGTAAAATATTTCCGTTGGAACTAATACACTCCATTATTTAGTTTGAAAGACAAGATTTAATCTAAATTTTGTATACATTTGTCGTTATAAAGAAATACGTATTATTGTATGTTTATTTGCTCTATTGACAGGTATGTTTCGTAATCAATTCAACTTTCCTTAGGTTAAGTTTCGTTAAAAAAATAATAACACAAGATCATACGCGCAATGTCAGCATGTTTCCATAAATTTCTCCGGTTGTATACGATAAGAAGCACCTGTATTATTATTCATGGTTACAGGTGCGATACACCTAATGATGACAAGTTACGGATCGTGTTCTTCCTGTTGAATGCAAATTTATTCAATGAGAATCAGCCGACCGTTCAAGTGTTCATTTCACGCGCACTACTGACTTCGACAAGCTATTTTACATCCTTCTTAGTATAACCACAATAGCATACTTTTCTGAAAAGATAGCTTTCGCTTTCGAATTAAATTTAAGCGCTTGCCCTTCGAAGTAATTTAAAATATTAGTACCTTTTTATCGTTAAATACAGGCAGAATATAGAATATGTTTTAACATTAATAGTTATTCATTGTAATTACTAGTGCTAAGGTTATTTGTTACAAACTGATAAATAAAAAGTGATTAAAAAACTATCGATTATATAATTCACTAATAATGAAGAGAAGCCTTAATGATGAAATGGAGTGTTTAGTAGACAATAGTTATTGAATCATATTTAGTCAATTACTTAATAATAATAATAATGACAAATAATCATCATAATTTTTTAAACTTATTTATTATAAAGCCAGTAACTTAATGGAATGTGAAATAACGTGAAAAATACATAAACACGTGTGGAATGAATAAAAGAATCGACGTTAATACGATGATTTAATTGTTACAATTTTAACATTTTACGATTTTACGATTTCAAAATATTATTATGTAGAATCGCTATTGACCTCCCTTTACGCGAAAAGAATACTATGTACCTATCACATATACAAGGTTAAATTATTACGGTTTACTTCGAAATTTCGTAATACTTGGAAAAGTTTTTACTTAATATTTTCATCGCTGAGAAAATTTTTTTGAACTGCACCACTACTTATATTTAAAACATCTAACTTGCCATGTTTACATTTATTTGGTTAAATACTAATGTAAATAAATTTCCAATTCAATATATAGAAACTTTCTTCTTGAATATTATTGCCTTACTTAAAATAAATTAGAAATTAAGAATTAGCAACAACTTGTAGTGAAGATATTGAGGTGAAGCACGTTAATATACACGTTGTCGATGTCTAAGAGCAATATAAATATCTATAATATACATTATCAAGTATAAAATAATTTATGTTATGTATAGTGCCCAATAAATAACAAAAAGATGATTATACATAAAGTAAATTAAGCCTATATTCGAACATCAAAATTAAAATGACATGAACTGCAACAAAACTATTAATTTCTATTAGGTAAACACAACACGGTAAATTATTTAATAAACATATTATTTATTTCGTTTTTATATAATTTATAATTATCGATACCTTTAATCTAGATCTATATTTATTGATACAATTACATTAAAATAGTGTAACGCAATAGAGAGATTTCTGATTAATATCTATAAAGCGTATTATATTAGAATAAGTATTTCGAACTAGAATAGAAGGCACAATTGGTGTTTTTTTTATTTTTCAAATAAAAATAATTGACTTCTCCGCCGTCGCGGCTTCACGCGTTCATATTATTTTCACGAACGAACAATACCGATTATATTATTCACAGATAAAAACACAGCTACATATGTACATACTACATCGCAGCGATAATTAACGAGAAGATTGATCAAATAATAGAAAATATTTGTTTTCTACTTCGAACTAATTGAGCTTGGTTCAATGTTGTTCGAATGCGAAATTAAGACAATGCAAATCTTTAATTTTTACACACACTTAAACAGCAGTTCAATATTACGCTTACTCGTTATTCGTTTTTTTTTTTTTTATTTAATGGCCTAAAATTTATAAAAATAATCGAAGAAACTAATTTGACACTACGTTTAACAACTTTGAACTTGCATTTAAAATATTGTTCTATAGAGAAATTTTATTTGTACTTCGACTAGTAATTTCAGTGTTTAAATCTTTATACATGTAGTGAAAAATATTCAAATGATTAATGAAAAAAAAAAAAAGGAAATTAAATTTATACATAGCCTGTTTCATTTGACTTAAACATCTGGAACATCTCCATTAGCTACCAACAGTACGAAAAACTGTCCGAGGATGGTTATTTGTTTTGAAATGACATTATCGATATTATTTCGAAGATCTATTACAACTCATTCTTAAAAACGTTTATAAATTGAAACGTTAAATTTTTTTTAATTAAGATCATATAAAAATTATTTTATCTTGCATGGGTAAATGGATTATTTCCTCAGTCTTAATGCTATGGCAATAAAAGCATGTCGTTTAAAACAAATAACAACATTCGTCTCCTCGAGATAAATAACTTTCTCTTTTCGTAAGTTTTTCATACCATTAAAAGTAACAGGGATATTTCAGGTGATTGAGATAAATGAAAGACCCTTTATATGGCAAAATATTCGTATTTCGTGTAATACAAGTTTTCTTCCATTGCTCATGCTTGTGTACACAATGTTTCTTCTTTGTAAAATTCGAAGTGAAGATAGATGTGCGCGAGAAGTTTATATTCAAAGAAAATATATATTAACTTTCAATTATATCTTAATAAAATTATTTCCAGCAGAGGAAGACGTATTTTTATATTTAAATAACACGCTATTCGTTTCAACATTCTCGTATCACGGTTTCTATTACGCGAACATTACACTTTATCGTTCTATTCTTTTAAGTAAACAAGTGCTTCAGCGGATAATTGTCAAAATTCTAATATGGAACAATCAATGTAGAAGTCTGACCACAGTACAGAGCAAAATTTTCGTAGGGTTTCGTTGGAATTTCACTTTCAGTTTGTTCGTTTTTTTCTCTTAGGATATTTTTATTTATACTTCGACTTTGTACGGCGAGCCAGGGATATGTTCGTCGCCCCATTTTACGATAACAATGTATTCGCCCCTTTCGCGAACCAAATAGCTCACGTTATAATTATTACGACCTGTGTGCTTCACAAACACTTCGTCACACGGACCTTTAGGTCCGTACACGCCAACGTACAAGATGTTGTTACCTACAAACAGAAAAAGCGACGAATTATTAACCATGATAAAAAATATTGATAATTTTTTATCAAGTTATCATTTTATCCTTCACCTTGGTAATTTATCAAATTACAATTTATTGTTTTCTGGACTAATACGTTCTTTTCTTTCATCTCAATACAGACAAAGGTATACAAATTTGTGGAAAATAAGAAAATCAGGAATACTAGTATTTTTTATGAGCATTTTAAATTCTAATTAACGACATTAAAGATAATGTAAGTTATATTTTACCAGCGTCGCTCGCGTTTACAGCAAACTGATTCTGTTTGCCTAAGTATGCTTTTTTCAAACCCATTCCTTTGCTCGTAATCTTACTGGCATCTGATTTGAACAGAGGTAAAACTGGCCCGGTTTGTTTCGCTTTAGACATTTTCTGAACAGTTTCGACCACGATGGAACTTGTTTCCTGAGCGCCTCTTTCTGCCAGATCCGCACCTACGGTTCAACATATAAATTACTTAGTTTTCGATCACTTATCAATGACATACAATAAGATAACATTGGAGAAAGTAAATGGACAAGCAGACATTCGAAAATATTGATATGATTAAAGTTTAAATCGATTTTAACGTATGAATAATATGGTGTGATGACGTTATTGATTATATGCAATACACTTTTTTATAATTATCAGAATTTCAGGCAAATAAACAAAAATTTCGAATATCGTGATGAGATGTAACTTGTTCTAAACTTGCATTAATTTCTTTTATTTAATTCCATTGAAGAACAACGAAAACTTAAATATTTAGTTCATTTCAACAATAGTTTGTGAAAATTTGAACATTTCATAATGCAGTTAATCTACAAAAGGGGATTGCTTACTAAATTGAGTAAAAAATGCTCGATAAGAATTAGTCTAAAAGTCCATATTCTCAAAGATACCGGACATTTTATATTCTCTCCCTACTTTTTAGCTACTAATATGGAATATCCTTCTGCTTATGGCAAAGTCGCTCAAAAATGATATTTGTAATTTTTCAAAAAATGCTTGGAGCAGAATGCTCTAGAGCCTTCACACTGGCAGAAAATAGAAAAAGAGAAACATTGATTTCTTAGATCCAATTCGACCAAACATCTCTTAATTGTTCCAAAATGGCGGGGACACAATACTAACCAGTACAGGGAACCTTGAACGGCGAACCAACGATGTGATATCCGTTATACTTGATGCTAATATAATAATCTCCAGGTACCAGAGGAGTGTATCTAACTTTGTAGCCCTCTTCAACCTCCGTACAGTCCATTGCTACTTTGCTTGGGCCGTCAACGGTCACACTTAACGCACCACTTCCGGCATTACAGGTATCGATGATAAAGTCTGTTTTTTGGCCGGTTTTAATCTCCTTAAGACCGTTTCCATAAGCTTGCAATGCAGCTGGATCAGCGTCCACTTTGCCGACTTTAATACGATAAGGACTACCGGGTATGTGAACACCGTTAAACTTTATATGAATATTGTGAACGCCGTTCTCGCGTGCCATAAGTCGCACGGAGTAAGTATCAGAGTCGATGACCTGAATGAAGCAATCATCTTCGATACCGCTCGGCGAGACAATCTGTAAAATCGTGAAATTCCATCGTTGTAGTAATTATTACACATTTTATGTACAGGGTGGTCTATGTAAAACAGGTCAACTAATTATCCTCTCTAATATATATGTAGCTATGGTGGTAGGAGGAAATTTTTATGGATAATTTAAATGGTTCCAGAGGGAAGCTGACTTTTTGTGTTATTATTGTATTTATTGTAACGAAAAATATTTAAAAAGTGATATAGTTTTGTTTAGATAAATTGTTAATTTGTTTAACCTGTTAATTGAGGAAGAAGAGTTAATTCTTCATTGGTTCAGAGATACTCAGAACATGATAGTGTAATTTTCTGAGGGATTATTAATTTTAATTGCACTGTTATGCCTGTGTGAAATGTAAACCACACCAAAACGAAGCAACTGGTAATTAAATAATTTTTTACTCACTGGTAATTAATAATTTTTACTCATTTTTAAGTGTACAGTAGAAAGATTGAATTTCTGTTTGAGAAGTGAACCCAGTTAACAGGTTAATAATAAAGAAATGAAAGTAAATTATTTTTTAAATAAAATAACTTAAATATTAAAATTTCTACTCTAATTTTATCAGAAAATAATCATGTTAATAAGAAGAATTTCTCCAAAATCGGTGGATTTAAGCAAAGCTTCACTGTGAAGGATTTTTCAGTAGAAATCACAACATTTTCATCCGCGTATTATCGTTGTTTATCGTTGTTTTAAAATTGATGGGTGAACTATTTTCGTAAAACCGTGGATGTTTACAGCGGCGGTGTTTTCGACAAATGTTCCTCGCGAAACACGATTGATATGAATCATTTAATTACACGAGTGATAACACGCGGCGAAAATACACGCCTACACGCGCGCATGCGGCTCAAACCTACGCAATATGATGCGGCATCGTTGTTTCACAAGAAGAAGTTATTTACAGCGCGCGGTTTTCGCAAGGACTTCGTCACTGAAATGATGTAGGTTTCTAAGAAAAACGAAGGCCTTCGAAAACTTCAGCCCGAACATTCCGGCAGTTTAGCAGAAAATTTTGACAAATATTTCCAGTTCAATATTCAAGATTGGTTATGCTTCCTCTAAAGTATGTTCGATCCTTCAAACTACCAACTCTTCTTTTTATTCTTTTGTAAATTAATAAAATATTACCAACACTTTGACACTATTTATCCGTCGTTCAACGCTGATGAGGGTCAATAAACACTGTTTACCATAATAACACCGATTTACAAAAAGGAAAACAAGAAAAATATGAATGCAGATGAAGAAATGGGACTTTTGAAGTTTTCATGAATTAGATGACTTGAATTATTGTTAATCGAGTAACAATTCAGATTCAGAAAAAATTTTCTAAGGCAGGAATGAAGCTTACCTTCGCGTCAAGTTCACCTTTGGCACCATTTTTGCGAACGAGGAAGGTGGCTGGCTTGTCAGGTTGCACGCCACTCTCCGGAAATTGTGCCACTTCGAGCTTATGAGCATCTCCCATTGCCGGCGATATGTAAACTTTGTGCGGAGAATCGGGGATATGTTGGTCGTTGAATTTTATTCCTACCCTGTATTCACCTGAAAGTTTCAAAGAATATTATTGCTCTCGATCATCCCCACAATATCCTCAAATCGATTTCCCACCGTACATATCGTTTTTCCTAGAAAAACATTGTAAATTTAATCGATTGAAAAGTAAATTTAAAATATTGTACAATGAATAAAATTATTCAGTCGCGTCGCGAAGACTAACCATCGTTCTCGTAATTATCACGTTCATTTCCGGAAAGGACTATTTGCTTGGAGGCAGTGAAGGTGCCCATCGTTTACGCCCACTCGGTTCCGATACTTTTTAATCGAACTTTCAAGTGGATATCTCTTTTTTGAACGCTCGAGAAAAAAGAGGGATAGAACGATATGAGGAAAGAGCGATACGAGAGAATATTTGCAAAAAGATAGAGGTGGAGAGTTGGGAAGAGAGAAGAGAATGGGGATGAAGAAACTAGGAAGAAAATGGGAACGTGAAATGGAAAAGGCAATAGGAGAAAATCAGTAGAGAGACAGAGAAAGGGGAGTAGAGTAAATGCGAAGAAGAAGAAGAAGAAGAAGAGAAGAAGAAGAAGCAGGAGGAGGAAGAGGAGGAGGATAAAACGAGAAAAGTGAAGAACTGAACGCAGCTAAATCGCGAACCACTATTTTCCTCTGGCTGATTCTAACTTCTGATCTCGATTCGTCCACGTTTTCTCTCTTTCAGTCCTCTATCTCGCTCTCCCTCTGACTCTTCCCCTCATTTGATGCACACCACCCAAATATAACGACCACGCTAATTCACGTCCAGCGGCGTTAGCCACCTAAATATGAATCCACCTTAGACGCAAATATAGATGAAGGTATTTCTAGATCAGCCGAGAACACCCGATGAAGACTGGTGGGAGCCCTTGTCCACCGTTTCTCGAAAAACCGGTGCGTTCGTTTTCTGTCAGTTTTCATTCATTGTATCAGTGGCTTTGATACCGTTAAAGTTTCCTGATAAGACACTGTTATTCGATATTTATGGAAAACGCTGTATTGGAAGTTTGTGACAGAATATTGTACACTGCTGTTCGTTGGTATTAGGACAGCTATTACGTTAGTTACTGAAAGTATTGTATGATTTAAATTACGTTTTTTAATACTGCAAACTTAGACAACTTAAATTTATTAGTGAGTTTCAGCACTGAATCTGGAGCTGATTTTGAAGTTATCCATTTTTTATATTTCTAAATATTGTTAGAGTTGTCCATAGTTGCAAAGAATAATTATGAAATTAGATGATTTATGAAAATTAGGGAAGGAAGTGCAACGAAACAAGTGAAATTTAATTATTGCCTTCTTTTTTCAATAAAAGTATATGTGTTTGTTATTCTACGAGATTCCAAACTGAATAATTTTTTGGGATTTTAATAATCTTCTAATGACTGTTTGGATTTAGTTTACATTCGATAAGTGTCCTTAAAGTGTCCAAAAAATGGGTGTCCTAATACAGGTCGTTTCCACTTTACGAATTTTTTGGATCGGAATTTTTATGTCAAATTGTGTAAGTAATGACATAATGATCACTCAGAATGAGCCTCAGTCACTCACGAGCTTTACTAACAGTCGCCAGGAACCTATCAATTCCTGAAGGCGAGAACTACCTGTACTCATGAACAGCAGTGTATGCAACATTGACATTTTTGTATACTTTGTTTGAAAGTGATTTATTATTTTGGACGGATGACGCGCCTTTCAATACAACTGACAGACTAAAATGTGAGTAATCAATGTTGGCAGCTATCCATGATATAAGTGACAGTTAAGTGATAGAAGTATGTTACAATGTTTTATGAACATATATGTTGCAATTAGTACACCATAAGATTCATTGTCCATTATACAAGATGGTCTACTAAAACTGTAACTATTCAGGATGATATCTGTGAAACTATGAAAGATAGAAACTTGCAACTTGGTACATTTCCTTCTGTATAAAGGAAAGTATTGGAAGTGCTAATACACGTGTACACGAATATTTAAATACACGAGCACACGTATGTTGATGTATTCTAATTTGCATAATTTTTAGTGCACAGGTACTTGTGTATATTCTCAGATTTCTATTTCACGTGTATTTAAATACCTGTAATTTTTAATATAAAAACAAAGATACCCGAGTAATTTATAGAAACAAAATATGGCTTTTCAAATAACCAGGTTGCAAATAACAGTAACAAATTTCAACACAATACAACAGAAACAGAAATAAATACAGAGGTGCAATAGGAACCTCTAGTAGCAACAATGAAAGCTTACCAGGTTCTGAAACGATGTAACTGACGTAACAGCTGCCATCTTTCCTGTCCTTGAAGTCAATTTGAGCTTTGCTGGGTCCTTCGACCGACACAGCCAAAGTACCAGCTCCAGCCTCTCTGGTCCAAATATTGAATTCACAGGGTTCACCCTGTTCTCCTCTCTCCAAACCAGGACCACCTGCGTGGACTCTGTGAGCTCCGCCATCCCTGAGTGGACCAACGGTGAATTGGAACGGCGATCCAGGGATGTGCATCTCTTTGTAACGGACAGACACCGTGTGCACTCCGAGTTCCTTAGGTACGAACGCAACAGCGTACAGTCCATCTTCGACTTCTTTGATCTCAGCATCCTCAGTTACACCTCCCGGCGAGGTGACAGTCGCGGTAAGATCGAACGAGGTGATTCCAGGCATCTTGAACGTTAGTTTACATTGACTTCCAACCTCTGTGATAGGCACAGCTTCCCTCTGCCTCTGGATTTTCTCCCTCTGACGATTGCTACCCTCTCCGGTGACCTTCACGGTAAACGGCGATCCTTCCACGTGATGATCGGCGAATTTCAGGTTCATTATGTAGTAACCAGGCTCGGTAGGTTTGTACGAGATGTTCAACGTGCCGTCTTCGTTATCTTTACACTGGATTTCTGCTTTACTCGGTCCTTCCATGGATAACGAGAGACCACCGAAACCGGCGTTCCTCGTGTCGATCGAGAAGTTATTCTCGACGTGTGTTTTACCCTCTTTCAAGCCACCGCCGGACACTTTCACCTTCTTCGCGTCGCCAACCTCGCGATCTTTCACGTCGATCTTGAAAGGTGAATTTGGGATGTGTTTGCCCAATTTCTTCACCGCGACTGTGTGCTCGCCGGCCTCTCGAGGCGTGAAGGAAACGCACATGTTACCGTTTGGCAGCATTTTTAAGAAACACGGCTCCTCGAGGCCACTTGGCGCAGTGATGGACGCATTTAAGGATCGTATGTCGGAGTCGGTGACTTTGCCGGGTAACTGAACTTCGCTCGACGAACCAACTGAGATTTGATTTCTCTTGCGACCTTCGCCTGAAAACATCAGAAATTTCATTTAAGCGTTTTATTCTTTGTGACATGAGTTTGCTGTAAATATTCTATTGGAAGGCTTGACATTCAGAACTTTTAAAAGGGAATAGAATCCTACCATGTCGCTTATGTATGAACGACAGAGATCTGAGTTCTGATAGAGAACATGTTAAGTGAAGATTCTGACTTTAAAGAAAAAAATTCAAATATACTTGTCATTTTTAAACTCCTCATCGTTGAACTCATTCTTATGGTTGTTGAACAAGGGACTATACAAATTAATTAAAAAAAATATAAGTATGCAAATAGATTCGTATGCATACAGTACCTGTAATTTTAGCAACATAAGGACTGCCTCGGATGTGCTTGTCACCAAACTTGACAGTAATTTTGTATTCTCCCGGAGCAGTTGGTAGATAGGACACTGAAACTGTTCCATCCTTGTTGTCGTGACAGGAGATTTCAGCTTTACTAGGTCCTTCGACTGCTAACGAGAGTCCACCAGCACCTGCTCCTTTGGTGGAAATGGTGAAATTTCCAGGTTCACCGCAAACACCGTATATTAAACCTGGTCCGTACGCCGTGACATAACCACTTGCCAAAGAATCCACATGGAACTTGAATGGCGAACCTAATAGATAACAAATACAAAAATTATAGAAAACAGCATAAAGGTTACAAACAAAAATATGTACTACAAAAATGTGTTTTATACAGAAATTGCAAGGTATCCAAGGAATGCTGATAAGGGTTTTTTAAATAACTTATTTGTTTACAATATGTTAAGGTGATCTTGAATTTTTCAAATAAAATGCATAGCTTTTCGTATTAAAAATGATAAAATATTGAAAAAAAGTAAAATGATAATTTATATAAATTATTCGAATTTTCTATAAATTACACTATTATTAGAGAAAAAAATTAATTTGAGAGAGTTGCAGCTCTTACAATACTTTTTAAAAATTACACTTACCCTGAACATGTTCACCGTTGAACTTTACTGCGATTTCATGTTGCCCTTCTTCTCTGGGTTCGTATTTAATAGACACCGTACCATCGTGATTGTCTTCGATCACTGGCTTATCCACGTTCCCGCTCGGCATCTTCACTTCGGCTGAAATGGTAGAAAATAACGAGATTTAATAATGTCACGACGAATTCTGCTAAAATTTTATTCAAAACATGAACGATTGAATAAAGAGCGTGTATTAGTTTGGCGCATATGAAACGTCTAGGGTCTCGTAAATCATTTCTTATCAATAAAATCGGCTATTTTCAAATCCAACGAAATTTCCAATATCGTGTGTTAAAAGATATTTCGAAATTTAGACAGGAAACCTAGCAACGTGTAAATGTGAAATATACTAAATGGTAACCATCGAATACCATCGAAATCCAACAATTAACCGTGATAAAAAAAAATCGACAAAAATGCTTTCGAAATTTAGACAAGAAACCTGCATATGGATTTCTCTAGCAGTATGTAAACGTGAAAATACTAAATGGTAACCATCCAATTGAATACCATCGAAATCTAACAAAATCGACAAGAATGCTTTGAAAAATATTTACTTATCACCTGAAACGTAACGTGTCAGTGGAAATCATTGTTCAACTGTAATATCAAAGTATATTTCCTTTCGTTTATTCCGTGTGTACGATAAGTATAACAATAGCGTGCATGAAAGAGACAACGTAACGCATAAGATGACTATAATAGATAAGGTAAAACGATTAAAGGAATAATTTCCTGAACACTGAAACCTTTTCTCGTTTGCACGTAGTAAAGACTCTGAAAAATTAACGGAGAAAAATCAAGTCCTGGGGGCGGTTCTTCGTTATCCGGATCGATCCTGGTGTAACAAACCGGTCCACGCACAGCAGAATCGTACTGACTGCACGTAATACTCTTCAATCCGTATTTGTAGAAGGTCGACACCTCCTGCCACGTGGTTTCGACCTCCTCTTCCTCCCAAACCATATCCAAACCTTCGATTCGCTCGACTCACTATTTACGAACAACATTATACGCTTGTTGACAGAACAATCCAGAGAATTTTTTGGTCAAACTATCGAGCACATTGCAGTTTCAGGTGAATCAAAAAGATTGGGCGCTTTTGCGAGCCTTTTGTTTAGATCGTCCTGAAAGTTCCCGCGGTTTTCAGACGTTCGCGTTGAAACAAACGTAACTTCACTGAAACTGAACATTTTTCGAAAGAAAATCCAAAGAAATTCTATAGCGACGACATAATGGAGTTACTAAAAAAAAAAAAAAAAAATAGGAGGAATTTGTGGAACGGGAAGGCGTTTGTCCTTCTTTTCTTTTAATTTGAAGGTTTGTTGGAAATATTGGTCTAAGTTATAAAATTTAACAGGAACTTAGGGTGACCGAATATCTAAATAGAAATTGGAATTTCTAAGAGAAAGAACCAGACCTGATTTTCACTTGTTTGGTGGTTTACTTTGGAATTAATTCGCTATAGTTTTCTGAGACCAGGTATCACTATCACTTGCAGAGTTATTCAGTAACGAATTGAAAGTCGTCGATCAAAAATTGAAAGCGCAGCCCTGATTAACGGAAAATACCCTAATTTTTAGCATAACAATGCCAGAGAGCATTTAAATAGCAAGTACAATTGTACAAAATTTGCATCAATTGGATATGAAAATTCTACCTAATCTTCCATATTCTCCTGATTTATCTCCAACTAATTTTCACTTTTCCCGCTCACTTGGCAATTTCGTTACACGAAAACGATTTAGCAAACGGGAGGATATTGAAAACGCCTTTCAGCAGTTTCTTTCTCTCAGACATTCGGATTTTGAATTAATTCCCTCGAAATTATTCGAAATAAAAATGTTTCGTTTCAATAGACTTGTGTTTATTTTCAAAATGAACGGCTAAAACCGCGGCAACTTCCAGGATGATCTAATAGTAACAAAAAAATGTAGATACAGAGCCAATAAAAATTGACCTAATTGTTTCTTTTTTCTATGCTACGTTATTCAGAGAAATTTAACCGAACGATATTAACATTTACACAATTATTATTTTATCAGTGGATAATACAAGAATACTCTTCTCTACGAGGCATAAAAACCCCGAAATAAATTACTAAATTAGGTAAAACAAGACGACTTTAAAATTCGAAGAATAAATTATCAGGGGTCCAATAGGAACGTCATAGGAAAAAACAAAATACTTCGCGTTGCTTAAAACGCAGTTTCGCATATTCCCATCGAAAACAATCAAAAGACGTATACAGATTATGACGTCGAAAGATATTTTTCCGAAAATTTGACAAACAACGCGAAACAAGTGTTTTTCTTTAAAGACGAACAAAGTTAAAGGAGAAACGCGGCGTCGTAATATTTTTATCATCCCGAGAATAACTTCTTCGACATCGTTGTGCTTCGACGCAAGCCATTTTCATCCCTTTCGATTCTGGATCGACAGATTTTACAAAAAGAAAAACAACCTTTCCTCTTCCCCTCGAAAAGATCAAATATTCGTACACTAATCGAAGTTAGTTCGTTCCAAAAAAGAAAGAATAATATTTTTCATATTTCGAATTATTTTTAATCGGTTCATATTGCAAACACGTGCAGCAGAGATATTTTGCTAGAATATCGACAGCATCCGACATTCTAAAATTAAGCGTAAACTAATACTAGGTCATCGTTAGTCGGAAGCTCGGTTATGTGACACACAAGTTGCAACCTCGTGCTATTATTTAATCTTCCAAAAAATTCCAGCCTGCCGATATTTAAAAAGAAAAAAACAGAAAACACAAAAGCACGAAATTTTCTCTATATCCCACTATCGGTACGAATTATTCAAAAAATGTCTCTCTAAATTGTTTAAAAAAAACACCACTTTCCAATTAGCCTACAATCTACCATAACTCTCCAAGAAAATTCCAAACTCCTTTATTAGAACAAACACCACAGCATAATAACGAAAAATTAAAAGAAAAAAGACACACGAAGAGAACACGTTTAATCCATTTTACTACTGCACCACGATCAGAAGATTCCCTTTCATCAAACGATCTCGTAGCAGAGTGAAAGAGAGGAATGAAAAAGATGCTTGCAGCACGAATATCGAGAAAACCAAGAATTGCACAGCAAAGTCTCCAATTCGTATAAAAAAAAAAAGTACAAAATTAACAAAAAAAACAGTTTTAACAAAGAACGCGTAGGAGATTAAATACGCAACGATTCAGGAAGAAGATACTTAACGCAGGAACGTCTGTTCCTGGTGGAAATGTTCTGGTCGAAAGTGTGGGCGAGATATTTTACACGTGACGAGGGAAAAGAAAAAGAGTGAACGAAAGTGTTTGCAAGGAGACCAATGAACATCGAAAGGTGGCAGTGATCTAACAGTGATCTAAGTTCGTGGCAGGAGAAAGACCGACCCCGGACGATATACACCGTAAGAAATCCTCTGGATTTCGTCTGGCCCTTTTTTCAAACGGTCAAACGTAGAGAAGTTGGTTGGAAACACGAGAAATCTCTCTCTCTCTCTCCTCTTCCAGCTGGATCACGGCGTTTAATCCACTTCTCGAGGGCACATCTCTGGCGCGACTGACGATCAAGCGGGCAACGGAGGATCGCTAGCGAGCAAACGATGCCAGAGAGCCCGGGGAGACCTTCTTCTTCTTCTTCTTTTTTTTTCCAGAACACCTACCGTCGGACTTTATATCACGTGTTAGTCGCCTCGTGTCTAATAAATCTTTCTATCTCTGTCACACCGACCCACAGAACATAGGACGCGGTTAAATAGTTTTTTCGTGCTTGGTATAATTAAGCGTCGAGAAGTTAATAGGGTAATGAGAAGTCTCGTGATGCGGTAGACCTTTAACCGTGGAAGTGTCGAAATCGGCAAAATGACGATTTCACATATTTAGTTGAGATTAGAGGAAATTATTAGAGATGCTTTTGTTTAAGTATGTAATAGCGAGTTTTGGTGGAATATAGAAATAACTGTGTATGACAATTTTGGAATTATTGACGATATTCAAATTAATTCCAATTTTTCATCGATGAGTCGAATTTCGAGGTTCTTCGCATAGTCTTATCTAAATATACCAGAAGGGAGATAGTTTAGCGTTAATACACTCTGTTTTCGTGGTTTCTTCGTGGATTTTTCCCTTCCTTTTCTACTCGTTCCTCTACATTTCTTGCAATCTATAAATGCACATGGCTGGAATTCGGAAATGTAGCTTAATACATTGTTTCTTGTCCATGAAGTGGAGAAGATCCAATTTTATATCAATATTTATTTTGATTTGTTTGCTCATCCAGAAGTATATATTTTAATTTTACCAGGATTTCGTTTAATATCTGACATTATAAACGAAAGGGAGAAAAAAGAAGCTTTTGGAAATTTAGGAATAATTTTTACTGCAATAGGAAATGCAACTGTAATTATTACTGTACCGACAGGTATTGAAGTATGTAGATGAAAACAAATATGAAATTTTAATCGTTCAATCTCGAAATTCTTGCAGTTATTAGACAAATGCATCATGCTACGAAGAATGAGGAAGATTAATCTTCTTCGTAGAATATTACCTAGCAATTTCTCTATCTATTACTACACAATTCCTTTTATTGTTAATAACGAATAACAGAATCTTCTGTTGAGCGTTTTCAATAATAAATAAAATTCAGACCATAAGGAAAGTCAATTAATTATAAAATACAATATTAAGGTAAACTGTGAAATTTGAAAAAAAGAAGACGATTTCCTCTTCAAATAAATATGTGTAACCATTGTTTAAATATTATGTGCTTAAGTGTTAACCAATCACTATACCTAATAATAAAAATAGTCGACTTTTTCTAATCGTTCAATTGCAATACAATTTTATTCCATTACAGTTACGAAATATATCCTTTTTGTTTCTTCAATAAAAATCTGGTCAGTTTTGCAGAATGTACATCCACTTAATTAGCTTCCCCGCTTAACCTTGGAAACAGCAACTAAGAAGTAGTAACTAGCTTGTAACATGAGAAATGTGATCGGTTCTTGGCAATACGAGCATTAATAAATCCAAACTTAATGAGACGTACAGAATCCACGAATAGTCCTATATTTTTAGATCGAACGAATATTTATACATTTCTAATTTCCCTCCCGTATATCTCTTATTCGCGCTACCGTTAAAAGCACTGCCCTCGATCATCTCGTCTGTTGCACTTTACCACTAGATATATTCACATTGATAAAGTATACCTCGTAGAGTACCATTCTAGTGTAACGACTCTTAGAGATTCTTGATTCTCAATTTTTCATAGCACTTTAGTAACGTGTTCACACTAACAGAGTACTTTGCAGAATATTAGATCTGTGCAAAAGTTTCCATCGGTTGCAAATCGAATTTCACTGAAAAGCACTATTCTTCTTTGCTTATCTAAATTTCTGAAGTTGGTGTTTATACCGAATACAGTATTAATATCCTTGTGACAAATAATTATAAAGTTGGTGCATCTTTTGTTGCAAATCTTTCCTTATTTAAATTTTCACATTTGGCATTCATACTGAATACAGTATTATTGGTATTATATTATTGGTATTGTTAAATAATTATAAATACAATAAAAGATCGATTCTTTTGCAAAGACCTAACACTATTCTACAATGACTTCCAGAAATTCTGAAGACACTGCGATATCAACTGATTTATTTTAGGAAACTTGATCGATTCAGTGTGCAGTCTTGAACAACAATTCGAATATTCCACAATTTGTCTCTTCAACGCGCCAAATAATTTCCCCGTGCGATTACATAATTCCTTATTATGCATAAAGAATCTCGGAATTCTTAAGATAGAAAAGAGAGGAATTTGGCGCGTAACATCCTGGCTTCCCTTCCACCAGACACTGTTTCCACTTTGCGCAGGAAGTGATCTAGCAATGGGATCGGCTTGCTCGTGCGCGTTAAACGCGTGCCAAGGGTGGACGCGAGTAACACGAGAAATCGGAGCTCGAGCAACTTGACTAATTGCAAACAACCGTAATACGATGGATTTACGCGACGTTAATGTCGTTACTCGTGTGCGTTTAAATCGTTTGAACTGTTAGAAAGGTATCAGAGAAGTTATATGCTCACGATTGTCAATTTCAACACCTCTGATTACGTTGTGTAACGATGCATCGCTATGTATTCACGTACATTCTGTGCAACAGCGTGGTTCAAAGTAAATTTTCATTTAAGGAAGCGAGCTGGAATAATAAATATTGCTAGAAATAATTTTAAGCGAAATAGTTCGTTCGAATATCTGGTAAAAGAGTGAATGTTTTTTAACTGATAGAAACAGAAGTTCTACGATTGATGTGTTTGTTAATTTAAAAAATATACCAAGGTTTTTATTCCAAGACATTCCGTTTTTACGATGTGAAATGGTATAATTAGAGGAGTTGAAATAGCAAAGAGAACTGTGAGGAATCTCGAAAACCCTGGACAAGCAAAAATATACAGTTGGATATGGATAAATTTCAAAGTTTGATAAATAAAAGAACTGACGATAAATATTTTTCCAAATTATGTCATACATGCATTTAGAATTTATTGCAATTTTTTTTGCTATTAATTTTCCTAGTAATTTCACTAAATTATATTGTCCAATAAATCAATTAATCAACATTTTACTAGCACTGGAAATTTCTACTTGGACAGTGAACCACAAACCACAGTGAAACCATTGCAACAATCACTAACAATATCTTTTTAAAATTTTCCAATCACACGAAAGAGAAATGATCAAAATTTTGTATACCCCAGATTACGTTACACTTAAATTACGATATCGAAGTACATGATCAAAAGGAAAGCAACGAAATGGAGAAAGAAGAGAGAGAATGAACTTTTCATAATTTTCATCGTCCTAGTTAGTGCTGTAGAAACATGAATTCTGATTTTTGGGCCAATGACGAATCCGCACATCCGGAGCCACTTAATCATTCAGTATTAATATCACCGCCTCGCTTCCGCCACAGCAGTTCACCCACTCTCCCTCTCTCTTCTCCTCTCTCTCTCCAACACCCTGTTTTCCATCCAGACCACATGCTTGGTGCAACAATAAAACGAATAGTCGTAGAACTAGTCATACTTATCGTTTTGTACGTTCTATCTTATATTCGCCTACCTAAACTGCGGTTCGTAGGTATTAGGGCACCTATTATATTCGTAGAAAAAGTATTGTACGGTTTAAATTACATTTTTTTAGCTGACTTTTTTTTAAACAGCGACATTCTACGTGAAAAATGACGATAAAAATCTCTTTACAGTTTTGTTCTATCACCCACCGTTTGGTAGTTACAGCGAACTACATTTATCGTGGGGCACCCTGTATATCGGTAAAAATATACAGCGTTCGCGCTGTTAATTTCCAGCGGGTTTTTCTCGTAAGTGGTAGATTTGTGAGAAAAATGGAAGAGGACAAAGTTTCTTTATTTTTTATGCACAATACGATGGCTTGAATAGATTTTTTTTAATTTGCAATGGTTTTCGCGTAATTTAATTTATTATATTATACGAAAACGGTTGCTGAGACAAGTTCAACGACCTGTAAGAAACTCATTTTCTGTGGCCGTGTGGCATAATGAATTGCATACTATTAGAATCTTACTTTTAGAAGTTTTATCTATGTATTCGTTGCACATTTTTTCTAGGATCATAATAATTTTGCAGTGACTGTTTAGGTTTGCTTTGCATTCAGTGAGTGTCCTAATACTTATGAACTTGTTCAATCTTCTGATCTTTATTTTTTAGATGATCTACGTTGTTATCAGTGATTACTCGAGATCGTTAAGTTAAAAATGTGATTTTGTGTGCAGAACAATCTTTTCGTTATCAGCAAACGAGAGAGTTCCACAGTTTTTTCGTCATTTTTAATACACTTGTGTTTTCTATCATATTTATAAAAATTGTTTGTTCGCACAAAGCTGTTGGAATTCGTTTAACTTTGCCAAGCAACCTAAATTGCATCATTTAAGACGATATCGATAGCACATGTAAATACAGCGCTTATTGTTTGAGAAATACACAGCACTTATTGTTTGAGAAACATATCGGATTAAAGACATATCTTCTTGAACATCATCCAATAAGAATAGTCAGGCTTTAAAGTTCGTTTACATTCTAATTTATCACTGAAAGCTACAAGACCGTAATTCGTTTGCCAAATACTTTTCTCTTTGAAATTTACAAATTATCAATAAAATGAAAATAAATTATTTTTC